CACCAATCCTGCACAACCCATGTATAGATATATACATATATATATATATATATATATGACTGTATATATATATATATGAGGAAGCACAGCTCAAATACCGCACCTAAGAAGACGGTCCTCCTCCTCCGAGAAATTGGTTTGGCCTCTGAGGGACCAAGGCGGGGTCGAACGAGATGCGATGTTGCGGTTTAGGGTTTCAGGGTTTAGGTTTCAGGGTTTAGGGTTTAGGGTTTAGGGTTTAGGGTTTAGGGTTTAGGTTTCAGGGTTTAGGGTTTAGGGATGTTTCGGGTTTAGGGTTTAGGCGGCGCCTTAAATTACCTTCAGTTTCGGCCTTGCGCCACCTGTCAAAGCATGCTGCGCTCACCCGACCGCAGGGCATATCTCCGAATCTCCGGAGGACGACCCTCAAGCTGAAAGACCAATCTTCTGTCTGGTGCTTAGTAGGGAATGGGGGAATGAGTTATAGGGACTACTATAAGGGACCTTAAGGGACTATCATAGGGGTCCATTCCCCTAAACCCTAAACCCTAAACCCTAAACCCTAAACCCTAAACCCTAAACCCTAAACCCATTCCCCCATTCCCTGCTAAGCACCAGACAGTCTTCAGCTAAACTTATATCTCGTGGGTCCAAGCAAGCCCTTAAGCCTCGCCGGTAGGGTTTAGGGTTTAGGGTTTAGGGTTTAGGGTTTAGGGTTTAGGGTTCTGGGCAAGTCCCTCGAGGCCGCCCACGCCGACTGCTGGCGGCGCGGGGAGCCACGGGACTGCTGCAGTGGAACAGGCCGGGCGATGGACGGAGGATGTTCAAAGCCAATAGCTAATAGACCATAAATAACCCTAAACCCTAAACCCTAAACCCTGTGACTTTCGAAACCTCATGCTTCTCATTGCGGCTTCAGGGTCGACATAGGGATGATGAGTCGGTCCAGACCATCCGAAGCCTCTATGCAACAGGGTTTAGGATTCAGGGTTTAGTTTAGGATTTTAGGGTTTTAAGGGTTTTAGGGTCTTTTAGGGATTAGTTTAGGGTCTTAGGGATTAGTTTAGGGTTTTTTGTTTTAGTGTTTTAAGGTTTAGGGTTTTAAGGTGTA